GGCTCTTGAAAAACATGTGTTTTACTGCATTTCTTAGAAGAAATGTGGGAAAATATCTTTCTAGGTAAGGTTCATGCCTCATTAATATTTTGATCTGTTGCTTGGTTTTCATCAGCGCAGACTTGCATGTTTGCATAAACCTCCCAGAAATAGCTTTGTCACCTTGGGTTGTGGTAACTCTAGTGAAAACTTTGGAGCTCAAATGGCAGCGTGTACAGCATTAATACCTTTCAGAATTTTACAAAACTAGCTGATTAAATCTGATTTTAAATACTACTTTCTGTCTAGAACCCTGCCTTCTTAATAATCAATTAAAACTTTGTTTCATTGTGTTTATTCAACGCGTATAAAGCACTACTTGACATGTATTAGACCTTACATAGCAGTACACAGCTGTGGCCCATCCAGCATTTTCCAAATGAGTTTGCACAAGGAATAAAAGATTGCCATCTGAGCAACACTGGGGGGAGACAAGAGCAGACAAAAGGCATTTAAGCGCTACAAAAAAAGAAAAGACCTTGTTGAGATACAAATTTCTGAGCAAATGCCTCAATTTCACAGGGAGATACTGTAGCAGGCAATGTACATTGATTTTAGCACATGAAGTACATTGCTTTGGGGATTCATTAAGCTTCATTTTGTGCACTACCATGAATGGGTATGTCAGCTACTCTCTCAAGTAATGCACAGTTTCAAAGCAAGAAGGTAGAATAAACCAAAGTGAAAATATGATGTGCCCTGCAAATAGAGTAAGCCACTTTTAAAAGGAAAATGCTTTGCTTGCTAAAAGCAGTAATATAAACCTAAACATATTTGAAGTATTTTATGTTTATAGAGTTTTTAATATGACTTATGAACACCATTGAGTTCATGCTTCTGGCTGATCTGGTGGGAATCCCACTAGAAGGACAGATTCATTAATGGAGAGCAAAGCCTTCTTTCTGTCATTAGGAAGAAGATATGCAGACAACTGTTTGATACGTCTTTGTTACTCACTTTTTTACTGAATATGGGCAAGGTGTATTTGGTTTTGGTCAGGGTTGGTTTTTCAGCTTCTGTATTTGCAGCAGGAGGGTGTTAAGATGGTGCTGGTTTCTCTGCTCTGTTTTCCTATGGGAGCCAGCTGCAGAGCTCATGGTGGCATTTCACCGCCTCTCCAGGCATTGGCCACAAATCTAGTGGCAGGTCCATGAAGCTGGAGTCTTCAGCCACCAACCAAATCCAAGGCTGGTGTGAAATCTGTCTGTGAATGTGTGAGAGGTCTGGAGTACTAGGTTTCTAAGTACTTTGTCTTGGTTTGTATTTTGGTTTTAGTTGAGGAGCATCTAAATCCAAGAGATTTATCTGAAAATCTGTTTAGTAGATTTTATTTAGCAAGATGAAGCCAGTGGCACTTTTTGTTTGTCATAAAGTCTACCATAAGTTATAGTTATATAGAAGCAAAAGGTTCATGAAGTTTCTTAGCATGTTCCTAGAGCGCTTAGTTTGCAATGGCAGATCACTTCCTTGCTCAGTTCTCCAGGTTCTGTGCTTTGCTTTCAGCAGATATTAGGCTGTTATAAATGAAATTAGCCTAAGCAACAGGGCTTTGCTGCCAAACTTTGCTATGTGGTGCTTTCTATAGTAGAGCAGAACTTTATGCATCTTTCTGTTTCAGGTTGAATGGCACAGTTACCTGAGGTTTTGGGCAGAGAGAAGAGTGAAGGAAAAGTGTTGACCAGTTACTAGGAATTGTACCCCTGCACTGTACTAGTAACCTGTTAGAGGAAAACATAGGACGCTAGGATTAGCCTCTTGTGGTTTAAATAGTTAACACTTTTCTTACAAGTGATGTTTTGTCTCAGATGTATATTGGGAGTCACTGCTAAGGAGGTGGTCACTGAAGAGGGTGCTGGCTGTGAGAGGCTCAGAGCATATGGCAAATTCTTGACTCTCCAGTGGCCAAACAGAGCTCAGGCTGATCTAAAGGAAGAGCACCAGTAGATTAATGTCAAATAGCTGCTGCCTGCAGGAAGTTTTCCTCTTTCTGTCCTTCCCCCGGTATTTGATCTTTCAAAAGAGCTCAAGATAAGTGAGAGCAGTAGACTTAACATTTATTAGGTTGCAAAGTAGTGGATGTGGACTACTTGGTGGTTAGCTTACATTTATACTCAGATTGCAGCTGCCGTATGGGTCAGAAGGAGGTTTTCCCTTTGATAGATTGGCTGTGTGCTAGGAAAACTTGTCTTTCCCCAGAGCATCATGTAATCATTTGGTGGCGAAGAGGTGTGCTACGTTGCTATGGACATGCAGCTCTCCACACTGAGAGCTGCTGTAATGCTGATATATGTGAGTCTAATCATTCTGTCACTAAGATGTAATATCGATACGCCAGGACGACATTTCTATCAGAGGGCCTATTACTTGCCTTCTTAGTTGAAGAGGGCAGAAGAATTGAGATAAGCCAAAATCTGTTTCTTACCCAAGAGAGGCTCGGTTCAGTTCTACAGAACCTTTACTACCTGCAGGAGGTACCAGCACTATCTGAATGGCAGCACATGGGAGTGCTGCTGTGCACTGTGGGCTGGTGAAGCCCCAGGGAGATGGGTGCACATCTTGTTTCATGGTGGACCCCTGTGGCTGTGGCAAGAGCTGGGCTGGCTGGCCAGAGCAGGGCTGTGCCGCAGCCCAGTGCCCACTGCCTGGGCTCTGGCGCTGCAGGACGTGCTGTGGGCAGCGGGAGAGGCCGGGGGAGCTGCGGCATGGTTAGCGGTTTCTGTGGAAGTCTACAACAGAGCTGTGTGAGGAATCGCACTGGTAACAGCTACAGCACAGAACTGCTGCCCGCCTGTAGAATTAAAACAGAGGGTAAATTGAAAAGGGATGAATTCCTCCTGCTTCTTGATAATCAGGGTTTATAAAATCAATGTGTCACTGAACTGATTTCAAACACTAGGATATAAAGCAGAGTACTTCTGTGTTGACATCTGAAGAATTCGTAATTCATTCAGTATACTGTTAAGATGATCATCTTTCTGGGTCTGTTTTTCTCTTAAGGTAATCCTGTTTCTCGTAGTGATCAGTTTTGAAAGTTGTCTTACTTCTGCAGTGCAAGAATGCTGCTGGTGAACATTCCCCAATTGCACTCGTAATTATTTCTGATTTAAAGTGCCCTGGCCTGACAGCACCAGGGAAATTAATAGGAGAAGCTTTCTACAAGTTTCAGAAGATGAGCAAAGACATACTCACTCCCTCTTAAAATTATTTAAGCAGGTGCTGTGGGAAGCCATTGCTTTTATAATGCTCTTCAGATGTTTACAGCAAAACATTTTTTCCCAGTGATTGAATTTTTCAAAGTACTAAAATACCACAGAGAAATATGTTTCCCACCAGTTTTATGGCTCCCTGGATGCATTCTATACAAACCTTGTATCTGCCTGGACACAAACACTCTATTGCAAAAAGATATCTTGCCATTTTAACAAGCTACACTGCTTTGAAAGGATACACTGCAGTGGGAATGTCAGTGCCTTAAGAGTAATACTTCTTTAAGGGTACTATTTTATTAAAGCAGACCTCAGTAATTTGTTCCTGACTGTTATACACCCTTATTTTATTAAAGGTATTTTACATCTGTGGAGGAGATTACTACCACTCCTATTTTCTCCACTGCTTGGCTTTAATGGATGGTATGGAATATAATATTTATTAAGCCTAAGCAGGGGAGGACATAATAGCAGAATTGTCCTTTATAACCTATTTTACACAGTTGTAAAATAAACCTTAGTAAAGCAGGAATAATTATCCAGGAATATCCAGGAAATGGAGTACTCTGCCTTCTTCAAATAGTTGGAGGACTTAACTGCTGTTATACATGTACTTTAAGAAAATGAACTCAACAGTAATAATATTGATACTGGCTTGGTATTAGTTTAAAATATAGTAAGTTGAAGTATCTTTTGTGTCATAATTACCATGTTAGCATAGATCATATAATACATAATTATAATATCTGTATAGTAGTAACTGCATGTAATTCTACAGAAGACAAACACATTACAAAAATACTTATTAACTTTGAGGGTTAGAATTCCTTTACCTTATTCTGATGGCACCCAGACCCTGTAGCTGGCTCCACGGCTACTGGTCAGTTCTGCTGGTGATCACAAAGCTCTGGTGCCAGGGAATATCACCATTCCCTGTTCCTCAGTTCCGTGTGCCTGTAGATCTACTTATGGGCGAAGAGGACCTGTGTTTAGTGGCTGGACCCCAGAAGGCAATGAGTGTCTTGATTCCAGCCAGGTTTTGCCTGAGATTAGGAGCACAGACTTTGCACCTAGCATATGCACAGGTGACAATTCAATAGCTCCCTGAACCAGGAAGACAACTTCAAAAAAGCCTTTCCCAGTGATGGCACATCTGCTTTTTTAGCTGACAGGTAGAGTTTTTCAGGTGCAAAATGGGAACACAAGCATGTGTGCCATACTGGTGGAAATTTGGTCCCACCAATCACAGCTATCTGGAAGTTGTTGTAGTTTTGTGGGTTTTATGAATAGGAAAAAATGGAATCTTTCTAATGAGATCTGCTTCAAATTATTGGTTGTACTACCAAATACTGCAGTAAAGGCAGTAGGTGATGAAAATTATTTAAAAGGACATTGTATGTGGGACATGAAAGAGGTTGCCAAACTGTGGAGGCACAGAAGGTCTTTTTTTTGGGTACAGGGTTTCGCTTGTCGTTTCCTGAGTCTTGCATTTCCAGAGGTACCCAGTTGCCTGCCACAGTGCGCCTGCCCCTGCAGCAGGCCTGTGTTGGTGGCTTTAGCAGGCAGCTGCCAGCTTCTGCTGCCTGGCCTCCAAATTATACCAGCTGGGAGCCACCTTCTGCCCAGAAGCCATGTAGCTGCAGTTAGCGTGGTGCTGGGTCTCAGCTGCTCCCCTTCTCCCTCTACCTCCTTCCCAAGTCCCCGTGCACAGTGGTTGGATACAGGCTGCAAGAACGGTTCTTGAGTCTGACCGTGATGCTCACTAACAGTGGTCGTGTTTGGCCAGGAGCTGGCTTGCACATGCTGCCTGAGGACATGGCAGAGCAGGAGTGGCTCTGCTGGCGAGTGGACCTCACTGTCTACGTGGTGGGCACTGATACTCTCCAGCCAGCTCTGGCTGTCTGTGCTGGTAAGTTGCCAGTTCAGTTAACGGACATTCTTTCAGCTTGAACACCATCAACCTGTTCCTGTTTATCCACATCACACCCAGCCCGTGTTTCTTCACCTTTCTTATGCAATTACTGTACTGGTTCTTGGATAGCTCTTTCTTGCTGTTTCTTGTATGATTTCTCATCTTGGTGGCAGTCACTGGACTCTGTCTCAAAGGAAAAAAGGGAAAGATTTGGTATTAAGGATCCAATGCAGCTTTGCAATAAACTGATTCCTGATTAGATATTCCAGAAGGACTGGAAAAGAAAATCCTGTCTTCCCCCTTCTTTCCTGATATCTTCCTCCTCTTGTCCATTTTTTTTTTTTTTAATAAATTAATATTGTGGAAATTATTTGGACTGAAGTTATTACATTAATTATCCAAACTGACATTTTTGCAGTGTGTGAAAGGACAGGGTGGTATGTAAAATAGATGCACTAAGAACACCTACAGTATGACAACAAGTAGCAGGGTAATTGCTGAAAATGAAGTCTTTTCTGCTATCCCTTCCCTTCAACATCTGTTGTTCCATATGGAGTCATAAATATTTGCAACAAAATAGTTGAAGAAATAATCTCAACATTAATAGGGAAAAGCTGAATCCGCCAAGAAAATTAAAGAATCTTTTTTTTTTTTCTTGGCAAGTTCCTCCTACCCACCCTCATCTGACAGTTTAAAATCTCAGTAGATGAATAGTCAGACTAGTGATGCTTTAAAATCACCATGAAAAAAACCTTGTGAATGTTAATGGGAGAGTTAGCTGAGAAGAATTTTATAACCTCTTGATAATGGCCATGAGGAGGATTTTGTTTATTTTGTTTCATTTTCCTCCTTTCTTCCAGGCCACAGTATTTCTACTACTAGCCTTTTATTGAATAGTTGACATTTTCACTTTCCTCTATTGTCAGGAGAAATAATGTGTCTTGTCATTGTGAGGAATGACAAGGTACTATTACTGGCTGAGAGTAACTAGTTACTTTAAATTGCCGTATGGAAAATGCAGATCGATAGTACTTGTGCTTCTATGCAGATTAAGAAGCAACTTAAAGCATGGGACAACTTTAAATGTTTTGGAATCCAGATTACCAAAACCTGCCTGAGAAGCATCTCATAGGAGAAAGCAGGTATAATACAACAGAGACAAACTGTAAATTGTAGATAATTGTCGTGAATATAAACCATAGCATTTTGAAGGCTTCTTACTTACTTATTAGGAGCCGTGTACTTACAGCTCTCCTTAATGAACAGAATCAGGTGACATCAGTTGTATTTGTTAATCTGTACATACTGAACTTTAGACTGAAGTTACATGCAGTGAAACACTTCAGCTTTGGTGTCTAGCTAATGAATTACTGCACTTCTCAGTTTCATTTTTTATTATTGCAAACCCAGTATCTGATCTAACTCAGGTCCTTTTTTTTTAAGGTTTGAATTAATAAAATATTTTCAGGTGTTTTTACCGTCAGAGCTGTGTGAATATCTGAATATATTGTAAATATGTTGAAGTTATAAATAGGTATAATTTCTGTGTTATTAATGAGAGTACATTGATGAAAATGTCAAAGCTGTATAATTACACACCTCTTGATAAAGAGTGCACAGATAAAGACAATTTGTAAACTGTAATTTCAGCCTTTTCTAGTGAAATTTTCATTTCTCTGCTTTTTGCCTCCTTCTCCTATTCAAGAACTAAGTGCCTGCTTTATGACATCTTTCAGGAAAACACACCCTCATCATTCCTGAGAACAGGTCTATGGAAAGGTTGGCAAATGCATTGCTTGCAGATTTTTCTTCCTCTTTTTTTCACTGCTCCAAATCCTCAGTTTTTCCTCAGATAGCACATTGCACTAAATGTAACAGACATGGCCGTAAAAATCAATAAAAAATGTTTCTATAAATATATTAGCAGCAAAAGGAGGGCTAAGGAGACTCTTCATCCTTTATTGGAGGTGGAGGGAAAACATAGTGACAAAGGATGAGGAAAAGGCTGAGGTACTTAATGCCTTTTCTGCCTTCATAGTCTTTAATAGCTAGACCAGTTGTTGTCCAGATACCCAGTCCCCTGCGCTGGAGGGCGGATATGGGGAGCAGAATGAGGCGCCCATAATCCAAGGGGAAATGGTCAGCAACCTGCTATACCACGTGGACACACACAAGTCTGTGGGACTGGATGGGTCCAGGGTATTGAGGGAGGTGATGGAAGGGCTTGCCAAGACACCTTCCGTCATTTATCAGCAGTCCTGGCTGACCAAGGAGTTCCTGGTGGACTGAAAGCTTGCAAATACAATGCCCATCTACAATAAGGGCTGGAAGAATCTGGGCAACTGCAGGCCTGTCACTCTGACCTCAGTGCCAGCAAAGCTTATGGAGCAGATCATCTTGAGTGCCATCACTTGGCACACGTAGGACAACCAGGAGATCAGGTCCAGTCAGTATGGGTTTATTAAAGGCAGGTCCTGCTTGAGTAACCCAATTTCCTTCTATGACATGGCGACCCACCTAGTGGATGAGGGAAAGACTCTGTATGTGTATGTTGTCTACCTAGACTTCAGTAAGGCCTTTGGCACCATTTCCCACAGCATTCTCCTGGAGAAACCGTCTGCTCATGGCTTGGATTGGGAGTACTGTCTGCTGGGTAAAAAACTGGCTGGAAGGCCTAGCACACAGAATGGTGGTGAATGGAGTTAACAACTCCAGTTGGCAGCTGGTCACAAGTGGTGTTCCCCAGGGCTCAGTACTGGGGTCACTTCTGTTCTGATCATCTTTATCAATGATCTGGACTGTTACTGTTTTGCAGTGGTTTCCAAAAGTTTTTAAGGCAGCCTGGAAATGTGTATATAATGATGAGATCCTATTTTTAAAATGAAGGGGTTTTTATTGCAGAGCTCAGTCGTGAGAACTGTTTGTGTGCTATCAAGTTGTATCAATCATTTGAAAATGAAATAAAGTCTGATTTAAAGCTGGTGCACTGGATTAATCAGCTACTCCCCAATTGCATTCATTGACCCTGCTCATTCAGGGACTGTAATTAAGAAAAACAGCACTGACTTTAAATTCAGCACCTGAATCACAAGGTTAAAGCAGTAAATTTCAGAGTCTGATTGGTGCCAGGTTAGGAGGAGGTGTCTCTTTTCTCACTGATGAACAGGAGTGCTCAGCTCCTGGCAGAGAGAAAAAGGCAGGCAGGGGTTTATGGAAGATTTTCGATTATTAAGACACAGAAGACAGATAAGCTGGTCCTTGCAGACTTACAGATATAAGATGTTTGAAATAAACGATGCTTCAGGTTACAGGGTTTTCGTACTTACCTTTCCATGAAAGAAAAGAATTCTACTAGTTTCTAGTTAAGTAACGCAGAAGCTGTCAAGGTTTGAAATCAAGGGAAGTCATCTCACGTTTTTGGAAAACTGCTTTTTGTAGTTCAAAGTTGGAATTTGAGCCCTAATTCTGTCAAAATACTTGTGTTCGGACACCGCTGCCTGTCACTGTTGGTTGTGAAGTAGATCTACAACTGGAAGTCAAGGGACATCTTGCTACTATAAAGATATATCTGTTTGGATGATTCTGTAAGATCTTTGGGCAAATAATGCTATTTCAAATAAAAACACATCTTACTTTCACAGATGTGTAGCACATACAACCCAGCCGATGTTGTAGATCCTCTGTTTTATTAAGTCAAAAAGGTCCATTAGAGTATCTAGGCTGTTCTCTGTAACGACGGACCATTAAATGTAATCCACATCACTCAGGTGTGAAGCTCAAAGAATTATAATTTTGATAAGCCATTTTAGTCCTTTAGGACTTGCATGCCACAGGCAGGGAAAAGGAATTTGGTGGTGAATAATGCTTGCACGGGTCCAGGTAGACACAAGTTTTGAAGCATATGTGAATAACTAACTTCATGGTCTAACTGGTGTTACACAGGATGTAAATTGTAGCTTTAATATTTCTACCTTGTTTGAAGTGATGTGTCAAGTGTATCAGGTATGTGAATGATGGGTTTAAAAACATGCCATCTGAAAGCAAATAAACCAGCTGGCAGCTACAACTGTCTGTTGGTTTGGGCCATGCACTGTCATGCGGGGAGCAATTCGCGTTACTCGTGCTCCCAGTACTGTGCTTAGTCTGTAGGTGGATGCTTCATTTTCCAATACCTATTTCTGCAACTTAGGCAGAAGACAGAAGATGAAATACCCCAGTATATGGAATTAAGAACAGGAAACTTTCAGGCAGATTTCCATGTGCTTTCCTGGGAAAATATTCCATTTGCTGTTAGTGTTTACTGTGTGTTTCTTTGCAATATAATTCCTGCTTTCGTCTATTCATCCGGATGCCAGCTAGAAATTAAAATAAAAAGACCACACTCTAAATGGATTCCTGGATGCTATTATAAAGCATGGCAGGTTTAAAAAACAAGCTCGATAAAAGTAGTTCCCACTTCGCTTCAATAAATAGAAAGGTTGTTTGTCCTTGGTTGCACTCCAGTTGTTCTAGCTTTATTTCTTGCTTATTCTGTTGTACTATATGTGTGAGTGTAGCTTTTAGCATTGGTATTTTTAGTGTTGTTTAAAATCAAAATGCTTAAATCAACATCTTTTTTCCAATTAAAGAGATGCATTTGATACAATCCGCAAAAAATGCTTCCAACACATGCCATTTTTAATTGCTTTGCCAATTATGATTTCTCAAGTCTAACTAATAAATTTCTGCCTAACTGTGCACTTTATTCAGGATATGGGCAAGATGTAGACACCATTCAGATGTGAAGACCTATTACAAGATTGAAATAGATTTCTAATGCATTTATCATTCATCTTTGCAGAGTGTGATTTCAATCAGAAAGAAAAAAAAAAGATGATGAATGGTTTGACAGTTTCCACCCATATACGCTAAAACATAATATGCTTCCTCTGGTTTTCAGCTATTACAGACTTTAACATGCAATGTGACCTTGGTCTGCAAAGCATGTTTGGTTAGCACAAAAACTTAATCATAAGAAGTCATAAGTAGAATCCTTCTTCTTTACTGCCCTTTTTCTGGGACTTGGAAATTTATTGCTTCTGGGACAGGTAGGATATGAACAATGGGCCAAATAGAGTCCAGGGTTATCTCATCTGTGTGAAAACTGCTGCTGAAAATCGATGTGACCTCTGCTACACTGTCATCCCAATTCCCACCCTCTGTGTCCTATTTGTCTTTTGGTGGAAGCTTAGATCTGTGTGCTGTCTCTATGTGTCTCTCTTGGGCCAGATTATCAAAATGAATCATTGCCTGCATACCTCTTATATTTCTATTTATTTTCCTGGTGTTGACTAGGTCTGATGAAATATGATTCTTTTTGCATTTGATCCTCACTGCAGCAAGCAGCACCTAATTTAGCTGTGTCTATCTCTTTAAAGAAGAGTAATACTATTTTGAAACTTCAATCTGCTGTACAGTAACATTACAAACCATAGACCATGCAACCTGTCTTCACAGTCAATAGTAATTTTCCTTTCAGCCAATTTAATGTTATTACTTTCATCTCCAAATAGTAGAGATTTCTGGAGATTTCAAAGCAGCTGTAGTTTTGTTATGCATACTTCGTGTATTACTTTCTTTTTCAAATGCCACTTCAGTTTAGTCTTTTGTGACTCCATGGCTTAGGTATTATTTCTGTGTAGCATCATATGCAACAACTCACCACTTTATTTTAAAAGCTCTGCCACTGAGTATATAGAGAAATGATGTGTCTGAATCAGCACAAACTCTGTGGTCTGAGAATGTGACCAGGGCTTGTTTCTTTTAAATAGACCATTTAAATTACATGAACACAGCTCTAAAATGAGAGCTACAAAGACGTGTAGAGGTTACTGGCTTTTGTTGTTATTAGTCCTGAAGAATCATGATGAAGATGTTCCATTTAATGAACTCACATAGTGAAAACAAAATACTCCCTAAACAGCAATTTCAAAGAATACTTGAAACCTGTGACTGCTCCTGGTTCCTTGTCAGTAGGTATGGTTTAGAAACACAGCAGAAGTGCTGTTCAATAGATGCTCCTGTAGTTTGTGGAGCTAGGCAGCAGCGTTGTTGTTGGGGGGACACAGCGGTGCCATTTGTTGTCAGACTCTTTCGAGTTGGTTTTCTTTTTTAGATAAGGGAGGGGGCCTTTTGAATACGCTGTGGTCTCATTGTACATCCTGGCTTTAATATGACCGAGACGTTTGACAAATGAAACTATCAGGAGTGGCTGTGCAGTTTTCCTGAAAAAACACACGAGTCATGAACTTACAGCCAATACGTTGGGTGCAAGCTTTACTAAAAACCTATTGCTAAGAAGATATTCTTCATGATTTCTGCAGGTGCAGGAACATAACATACAGAGACTGGATTTCCCTGGAATATTGCACAGGAATATGTTTTTAACATTTCACAGTAAAAGCAATGTATGGAGTTTGGCTTTAAAGACTGCTAGGTTTTAGTTTTGTGGTTTTCGTCTTAAAATGAATACATGGGGAAGAAATGCTCATGAGGGATCTGAGAGAAGGAGATACATTTGCTATCCTAAAAGACATCTAAATTATCCTATTCAAAAACGTGAGTTCATTGGTGATAGTACTGATTCCTTACAAAATTTAAAGGTTTTTTGAAAACTATTTACTAATGCTGCTGCTTCATTTTGAATACACATTTCTACTGTGTGTGCACGGCTTGCTCTATAACAAGCTCTATAGCTTGCTCTATAGCAACTCATTTGAACCCACAAGTGAAGGGGAAGCCAGCAGGTCCCCGTTCTGGAGTTTGGAAGAAGTGCATCAATTTAGTTCTGTGCAGCAAGCTGCAGGAGCAGGGCCCTGTGTCAGTCGTCCTCTCCTCCCTGGCTGCTCCACGACCCCCCACCGCCCAGCTCTCTCTATGGAGGAGAAACTCCTCTGAGTTTCTCCTCTGCTAGAGAAACTCAGCAAAGCAGTCTGGCTACTGCCTGTGATGGGAGAGGCTGACAGCAGCACAGTACTTGGAAAGAGAACCTGCGCTGACACTTCACTGACAACGTGGAGCTGGTGCTAGCTAAGCAGGAGGGAATGACTCAGTAGCGATTATTGACTGCTGAGTATGGGAAGGATAATGTTAAAGGAGTAAAGAGATGTGATGTGCTTCTTGAATTTTGTCAAGGTTATAGCTACAAAAAATGCACATCAGAGAATGGCAAACATGATAGAATGAAGAAAGGTCATTCAGCTTTAATGAACTGTGTAACACTCTTGTAATTCTGTAGTATAATTTGTAGATATTTGAGATATATAGTAGTCTGTTACAGCTGTGTTGTAGCCTTCAGTGTATTTATTAATCTGTACTATTTTGCAACCTTACCTTAGCAACAAGCACAGCTGCCCAAGGATGGAAACAGTATCAGTTGTACTAATGCACTTAATTTTGACTTCCAGGTAAACGGAATGCTACTTTCCAGAAATTACATTTCCCTATACTTCTAATGCTTTCTGATGTTGCTTTTCAACCTGTCGTTACAGAAGAGGTCCAAATTGCCATTCCAATAATGAAACCAACCTTAGATAAAGTCCAACTGGCTGGACAGGCCTTGCCTCCTGGATTTCCGGCGCCATTTCTTTTTGCTGATGGTCTTTCATCAGTAGAAACACTATTAACCAACATTCAGGTAAATTATTCTCTACAGGGCTAGGTTATGTCATGATAGATAAAATGTGTTTCAGTTTTAGTCTTTTTTAGAAGTTTCAGAAACTTATTTTGTATCTGCAATTCTAATTTCTTCTATTTAATGTAATGCTTAGGTTCCCACTATTTGGCATCATCGATCGTGAAAGGGTTTCATACATTGTCTTTTTGACTTAATACTTGGCAATAATGGTCATATTAAAATTCACCAGTCTCATTATTCTTCCTTTGCTTTTCCCTGCAGTTGACTGAGGTCAGCAATGATATGGCATTCTGTAATAAACCACATTGGTAGGATGAATTAGCAAAAGCTATACTGAATGATTCCATGCCACAAAATTAGTTGTTTTTAATATTCAGCTACTTCAAATGCCCAGTTGTGTTCCAGGTCTATAGGTTTCTGCTTTTAATTTTTGTGTTTTCCTAGAAGGTGTAAAAGAAGCAGATGGATGAATGTTGTTAGTGCTGAAACAAAATGGTATTTTCAGGTTTTACATTTGTGTGTGTTTCAGGGCCTACTGAAAGTGGCTGTGGACAATGCAAGAGTCCAGGAAAAGCAGATACAGCAGGAAAAGAAAGAGTTAAAGATGGAGCTTTGTAGAGAGAGAGAACTAAGAGAGAGCTTGGAAAGGCAACTCACAGCTGAGCTGCAAAGCAGAGGTGAGTGAATGAAAAATTGAGTTTAGATATCTATTAAATGTATAACCCTTTGGCATTTCCAGCTGGAGCTGTGAGGACTCAACTGACATTCATACTTCAGTGTAATGCAGCAGTGGACTAGCACTGCTAATGAAAATTTAAATTTAATAAGAACAGAATGAAGCACGCTTTTCTGTAAGCAGACAGAATAGTGGCTGAAGGATTATTTCCTGGAGGGCAACTGGCCACAGAGAGTTTTGGCAAGTTCTGTGCAGGAAAGCTGATTTGGCTTCATGGCTTTCACGTGCATTATTACCCCTCTGCCTGTGTATTCCCAGCCCGATTTCTTCATTTGACAGCTTTAATTTCTTTTGTTTTCTGCTATTATCCTCCAAGCATTGAGAATCAGTCTCACTGTGAGAAAGAGAGTATGTCTGCAATTTGGGTATGTAGGTGATTTTTTTTCATTACCTTACTACTTACCTAGCCCCCATTTCTGTAGTTTGTCCTGTGGGTAACTTCAGTGCAATGAAATAGAACTACAAGAAACTGTCCACTTAAGTGCAAGATCTGAACCAAGTAACCCTAGATGATAGTTTTTTTCCATCAGGAGAGTGCAGTACAATACCACCCTCATTACAGGGCCTTCTAAAACAAACCCATGACTCTTTAGAAGCTTTTGATAATAATAGACAATTAAATTGGTAAGTCTGATTTTTTTGCTATGATACTGCAACTAAGGCAGTGTTCTTTTTAAAATTCAAATATGCATCTGAAGGAGAGGAAGAGTTCTTCATGTGCTAAAAGCTATTTCTAGATTACACCCATGAAAACAGAAATACAAAACTAGGTAAGAGACATAGGTGCCAATTACTATCTTCCTGTGTGGTTTGAATTGGAATTAAGCATGTAGAACAGAGCTGTCTGCAGTGCCAGGGCTCAGTAAGAGGCCACAAAGAAGGGCACTTCTGAGTCGAGTTGTGAAGGGTCAGTAAATACTACAGAAGTTGCTAAATTAGCAGTGGGTATTCAGAAATGTTGCATCACCCCAGCTGAGTGTGGATGAGGTGACAGCATTTCTGTAAAACAAAACTTACCTCCCTGTAGGCAGACAGCACACTGTGCACCTCCTGAGTCACATTTCAGTCAACAAAAACCTTACACTGTTCACAGACTTTGTTGGCTTCTGGCTCAAAAGACAATTTCACCAATAATCAATATCCTCAGCACCGTTTGTCTTTCAGGTCATTGCCACATGCACATCTGTTTACTATGGAAAGTCAGAGAGGCTTTTACATACGAGATGCTCAATTTTCCAAAGTTACGTTCTACAGATCACATTTTGAAATTCATCATTTATTAAAGTCTCCCAGAGCTTTCCTACGTAATGGTATCCTTTTTTTTTTCCCCTTTTTCTCCACACCCCTCCCCACATCCCAGCTGAAGCATTCAAAAATCCAGAAAGATCCGTACAAGTCAATAGGAATTCAGATGAACAAGTGGTCACAAAGACTTGTGTAAATACTATGAATTTCCCGAGAATTTTTCCAGATGTTTTAGTCAATTTTCTAATGATATTTTGTGATTTGAAATTCACAGGTATCCAATATACAGGAGAAGCAAATAAAAGGGATTGCAAAATACTGCTTGTATAAATTCCACTTTCATTTTAACAATACTTGTGAGCAATGTTTGCCACAGTTTGTGCACTAGCAAACTTGACTCAAATAGGTGGTAGTTTTAAAAGGGCATTTATGTTTAAGCTTAGATTCTTTCTGGTCTGTTAGTTTTAGCTACCTTTTCTAGTGCCATCACTTCTCCATTTGTTTGATTCCATAATGAATCCATGGGATTAAGTACGGCTCTGAGGATTTGACTACCTATGTGAACCAGAGCAGCACAATGCAGAGGTGGTCTCTGACCCTCTGCATGAGCTGTGATGGGTTGTAGGAAGGTAGAGTGTTCATATGAGCTGGGGTGTGCTATGGGAGTCATCTTTGACCCCTTCCAGGGCTTGCTAACATTGTTCTCCACATGGTTCTGAGAAGGTACTTGGGCATCAGCCCCTGGTCCAGCTAATCTTCTTTGTGCCAGTCAGACATGTGCCAGGTGGTCACAACTTTCCTGAAACAAGAGCTGTGTCCAGGAGGGGCGTATTTCCTGGCTGCAGGATACCCCCAGCAGAAGGTGGTGATGGGCCTGTGGAGATCCCACCAAGCAGTTTAAACCAGGAAGGAGAGGTGTGGGTCATACAGCAAAGAGACACATGATGGTGTTCTTGCAGCACTGGTGAAAAACACAAGTCTAAGAGCCCATTAAAGATAGTTTAATAGGGATAATAAGGACAGGAAGGAGCACAGGAAAGGTTGTGGTTGGCAGAGGTAGGTATGTGAGATGCAGTTCTGGCCCAAGAAATGGTGACCTGCTGCTGGTGAAAAATAAAGTTAAATACAGGATTAAGGAAAAGGCTTAAAAGGTGCATTTTATTGCTCGAATTTATATAGGTGAGGCAATACAATAGCCAATGTCAGCAGTTCACGATGAAGATATTGATCACATGGCTACAATTAATACTATACAATTCTCTAGTTACAGTTTTATTTATAGTTGGATTTAAAACTGAGATTACTCGGGAATACTTCTGTTTTCTGCCAATTCTTATATAGGTGAACCAACAGCCTGTGGCTGAGTTTTGTCAAGGCCCTGTTTCTGCTTTCCATCTGTAGAAGAGGGAAGATATGACTGTAAAGTGCATTGTGATCTACTGCTGTACAGGAGTTATTGCACTGGCGCCTATGTTAAGTCCGAACAGCCAGCTACTATGCAGGGGTTTATGGAGTGCTTTAGTTAAAATGAGAAATTGCTGATGAAGATAATAACACTCATTTACTTACCAGTGTTACAAGGTTGTTTTCCGCCTGCTTTCTACCTGGGAAGTTCCCTCTTAATTTCTCTCTGAGATTCTCTACATTTGGGAACAAAAACCCAATGCTTTTTTGTTCCTCTCCTTTGGCTTTTTGTCTTTTTTTTCCTCCCAGTAATAGGGAAGTGCTTAAGTACTCATGTTACTCAGTACATACCCCTTCTCTACACATTTGATCTTTCATCTGAGTTATGTAACCACTTAACCCAGCTTCAAAATAGCCTTACACCTGACTTCTGTCTTGGGCAGTGGTTCTTGGTATTTCAGTTATTCTGCTTCAAAATTAACCCAACTCCTGTTCCATTTTCACCAAAAAAATGACCTAATTCCATGGGGTTTCACTCTATACCCCATTGGTACTGACATTTCAGATTCTCCAATGCTGCATACAGACAGTTTGCCTGCAGAAATACATGTAATTTCCATTTAATATTAGAAAACGTAACTAAAACCAATCTCTGAACATTCAGAAGACTTCCTCTATCCATTAGAATGGTCAGGGATGACATAACCAGTGTGCTTGGATTATCTTTCTAGATAAAACTGCTGGAGGAAGAGGGTGCATTGTAAATCTCAACATTAAAGCAAAAGGTTAGAATGAAGGGCGAGAGATTTTTTTTTCATTTTGAGGATATACATTGCTGCTGTTGCTGGAAATCAGTTTAAGCCGATGATCTGCTCAACCAGACTCTGCAGAACTGTACCTGGAATTGAGTCCAAACTGGTGAAGTCAAACATGAACTACCAGGCTGGCTCCAAGATGCTGAGGTTCTGGTGCGGAGACTGAAATCCATGAGGCTATTCCAGAGTGACAATACAATTTGCAATTTTTAACCAGATCTGAAGCCCTGTCAGATTGTTTCACTACAGGACATGGCTTGGGGGTTTTGTGGTTTTGGTTTTGGTTGGTTGGTATTTGTTGGTTTGGTTTGGGTTTTTTAAATATCAGATTCATGACAGAGTTTTGTGGGGTTTTTTTCTCAAGCCTTGAACATAAACTCATTTACTGTCTCCATTATGTATTAATTGTGCTTTAACAGCCATTCTTATAATTTCAGCAACAATTCAGAAACGCTTGAAGAAAGAAAAAAAGGCAAAGAGAAAATTGCAGGAAGCTTTGGAATTTGAATCAAAGAGAAGAGAACAAGTGGAACAAGCGCTTAAACAGGCCACATCAGGTGACGGTCTCAGGATGTTAAATGGTAATGTCTTAGTTGGCCTTTCACAGTTAGCTTAGAATGATGTTTAATCGAGTGGAAAAAAAGAAAGAAGTAAAATGATGCACAAAGTAAATTCCAGAATAAAAAACTACAATCTTTTTCCTGAAATAATTAAAAATCTATTTCAGGCCATGTGCTCTGGGTCATGAATTAAAAAAATAAGTAAGTCTGTAACTAGAGAAACAGACAGAGCAGTTTACACAGACCTGACAAGAAATGCTGAATACATTACCAGAGAAATCTGTTACAGTGCCAGCTAAGACAATGTGAAATTTGGTTCCTGTAAGGTTCTCTGAACTCTTCTCTCCCAGCAGATTCATTTTTAGAACTGCTGAACTTCATTTTAAAAGCCGTTTGGCTGAACTTTGCTCAGCCTCAGGACCTATTAAGTTTGTTAAATATGTATCAGCTTTCAGAGCTGACTAGGTTTTGAATACTTCCCAAATACTCTTGTGAAACAAAACCAAATCAGTTCATCTCCTAAGCAGTGATTATGTTTTGGATAGTGGGAGGATTTGCCTCTCCTGCTTAAGATGGTTCTGGCCAAAGTTATGGCTTTGGTGGTTTGAATATTTAACATGAACCTAGTTGAGTTTTAGCTAATTTCAGGTTCTGTAACTAAGGTTTAGGCTGTGCATCCCTTCCTGGAAGCCTCTGCAGAGGCTTATGAATCAGGGTTATGTTCAGTTGGTATCTGTAGTCTTTACGTTAACTTTGTGCTGCCCACTGTGGACACTGCCAGTAACTGAGCCATGGTAACATAAGCAGACTGCAAAATCTGCCTGAACTGCTAAATAAAAATAATGAGCTTATCTTGAGTTCTCAGTTGTGAGGGCTACCCAAACTGTTTTTTAAAGTTAGAGCCAGCCTGTCTACGTGAACTGCCATTGCAACACTCTGCAGTGGCATGCAAGTTGTGATTTATCTACAACACCTAAGACATATAAACTCCTTAAGTACAAGAGCAGCAGCTTTCAGAGTCATTCTCATCTGCTGGGTTTTATAGTCCAGCATATCACTATAACCAGGAACTGGCTGGCTTTTCTGATGTACGGGGTGAGCGGTGGTGATTCCAGCATGGATATATAGCTTGCCATTGCACTGTGGTCAGGGACAGTGACCCAAGGGAGCGTGAATGGACAGAGACAGCAGAAACCTTTTCCACCACCTCCCCTGGATCAGGAAAATGCCCAGGTTGCATCCCATAGACACAGCCAACACCATGAGATGAATGTCAGAAAAAACCCCAAACTAAAATCCTGATGTTCTGTAAGGTCATTCACCCAGACTCTGCCATTGCTGGTGAGCACCCGCTGCTCACATGACAGTTAGGAGTACTCAGCAATTCTGGAAGCCACAAATTAAGGGGTACCAACATGCCAGCAATGTGATTAACAGATCTTTACATCTGCTATTGTGGGCCTGGCTGCTAGTGGTTTGATTTGCAAGCACACTCAGGTAGTCATATATATGTTAGTGCCTGCAAGAAGCTGATATTTACATGCTAATCTGATTGCACATGCAAATCAGGTAGCTCATTAGCATCTTAATCCACAATTTAATTGCAGGTACAATTTTATGACAACAAAATGTGAAGGGCTATTCTGAATATTTTTAATTTAACTCTGACAGTCTGTCTCATTTAACAGATGCTGTTACTAGTTACAGATGACTTTGTCATTTTTCCTATATACAACATGTACTCTAAAAGGTTTGAAGGGAAAGAACCTTTTCGAATTAATAGATCAGTGCCCTGACTTCCCTTCAAAACAGGAATCTGAACAAGGAAAGCCCTATGTAATAGCAGTCATTCTTATAAGAAAAATTCGTGTACATGAAAATATTATTTATTTGATCATATGTATTTGTAGGGCTATATATGCATACATCACATATTTCATTTACACTTATATTACTAAGTTACAAACTCATATTGCTCTTCTGTGCATGGACCATATTTGTAATGTGTTGCCCTGCTTTGACACAGAGTTTGGTGAGGCTGTAGGGTGCCCAGCAAAATGTCATCTTTGCAATGGATACTGACTTTCCATCTAAAGAGAACTGAGAAAGCAACAGTCCAGTTATTCCCTACTGGACAAAGTCCAGAACAGGCTTCCACACAGAAAAACTTCAGAACTGTACATGCAGCTCCCTTTCAGGTGTGGGATTTTTCTAGCTGTAATTCTAAGGGCTGTATGATAAGGGAAGCAGAAGTGTCTCCAGGATTTGAGGTGTCATGGATTCAAATCACATACCCTTCATGCTAATCCTTGCTGGCACAAGGTGGATAATGGCATCTGTTACCATAACACCCTAGGGTGTTTGAGCCCCCACCCCCAGCCTGGAAGATTGTGCATACAGAGGTATTACCAATATGAAATTAAATAGTTCAAAAGTGTACATCATCATGAGACCCTTTCCCAATTTGGAAGAAAGGGCACAATCCATTTTGGAAAGCTCTTCTCATAAATCTGGAAATATTTCACATAGTATCACATATGTAGTTTTGTTTTGGGTGATAACGCTTGTTTACAGCATCCTGAGGTGAGTCTTTCAAATGCAGTTTGCACAGTCCTTGTCTGTACCACGCGCTCATACAAACTGATACACACACACACAGACATGCTGACTGCCGCTGGCTGTATTCTTTGAATCTGTACATTGCAGGTACACGGCTGGGAGAGTCAATGTAGTTTAGTATTATCCCAGTTTAATATTGACTTTTATTTTTCATCTGTCAGATGCCCTCATTCTCCAAGAGAATTTTACAGACATACTACGATCACGTGTTGGTTATTATCTGATCATCAGACAAATGTGAAGCACGTTAAAAATAATTCACTGTGAGACCAGTAATGTTTGCACATTTTGGAAACGATTTACTACTGAAAATTCTATGAAGACCAAATGTTTTATGCAAGACCGTGTAACTTGGAGATCACCCTAGTTTGCTATAAATATTTTTCTAAAGATGCATGAGAGGAGGGCAAAGGGGAATGCATTAATCTTCAGTGTCGTGTCTTTCAGATGCTGGAATCCCAGATATGGAAATAGAACACAACGGAACCCAACATGACAGTGCAGCAATGCAAGGTGCAGTATGTACCACATCCCATCACTTGTTTACCACGAGCCATATGAAAAATTTAACAAAATGCAGAATAGTTTTTGTCTCCATTTTTCCACTTTAAGATAAATGTAAATTACACAATTTAATGTTGTTTTCCTGTTCAGTACAGAACAAGAGCGGAAATTAACTTTGTTTAAACAGAGATGTTGGAAAGTGATTTGTAGCTATCAGATACATCCGCTTAGTTCAGAGGTGGTTTTACATGCGATTTACCTTTTTTAAGTATTTTACCTCTGATCCTTAGCTACCTATGAAGGTCACAGATGTTTTCAAAAACTACATAAACTAACTGTAGGACAAAAAGGAAAGTCATGTTCATGTTTAGGAGCGGAGCATCTTAGTGCTCCATTTCCCTCGCCGTTCAGTGACTGTTTGTAAATACAGTTTGTATTGTCTAAGTGCTTCCCAAAGAAGAGGAAGCGCATTCTGGCTGTAGGCCTGGGAAGCGAGGGAGCTGCGATCATTACTTAGGGGAGGGAGGTGCAGAGATCTTCAGGGTTATTTCCATTGCCATTGGAAGGCTATTTGGGACGGGCAGAAAATCCATAATCACGTCCGATAAAATATGGTCTGAGTAATTTGAACAGAGAAATTCTCTGGTGAAAGCCCAGTTTCATAGTGTTGGTTTCCTATAAAACCAACTTTCTCCCTTCGATTCCGTGCCATATTCATGACACACCATTCAGTTCTGCACCAACTATTCCAGCAGCCTGGAGACTGCTACCCATTTCAGTGTAACTGCTGGTTCCCAGAGCCCTTCTACCCCCTCTGCTGAATCAGGTAATAGGAACGTGCAAAATAATGTGTGTTGAAGTAACTAGAGACAGTCCCCTTCAGTGCAGGGAGGAGTGCAGTGCAGTTAAGAGATACAAACCTAACTTCCAGCATTTCTCAACTGTTAAAGCCTCGACTTTGCGTACCTCTGCTATGCATCTGTCATCCATCTGTCATCTATACGGGAAAGCTTTCAAATATTTTTACTGCTGTCTCTTTTTGTGATTTTAGGTTCATATGCTATGTATTTCAAAGAAGGAGAATCACAGCTTTATTGTAGTGCATATATATACATACAACATATGTGTGTATATATGTGTACACATATGATTAGAGCTGTGCTCTAAATATTGCAATTGGAAAAGTGTTACTGCCAGAAATAGTCAAAATATTGGATAAGCACTAAGACACATGTATTTAAATTTGACAAGCAAAATATTTGTAACATTTCTATCTATTTATGATACCTGCTGAGAGGAGTGCTCAGTGCTCATCTGAAAAGATCCCAAGAGTCAAAGGTGCCTCTGGACAGAATCTAGTAAAAAAAAAAGAAAGTTAATTTCAATTTTCAATTGGAGGAAAAAAGTTACAGTTGGCTTAAAGGGTGGAAAACATCAAAACTGATTATAAAAAACTGGAGAAAGTGATACATTGCCACTTCTGACAACCATTTACTTAGAAGGAATTAAGAGAACGTCCTTACGCTTCTGTAGTCTGTTGATATAAAAGAAAACCTTGTGATTTTATGATTTTCATTTCAGGTTTGGGTTGGTTTATGTTTTTTTAATGTGGTCCCAACTACATCATTCTTTAGTTTTAACAGGCTATGGATAATGTGGTTCTTGTCCAGGTTAAAAGCCTGAACAAAGGGAGAAGTGGGTTTCCACTGAGCTCAGTAGCTGTAGGCCTGGTGCCTGCTGTGAAAGCAGAACGTGACTTGTGCAGTAGTCATAGTAGCTGTAAACCTGCCCTGTGCTCCTCAGTGGCAAAGCACCTCTCGACTTCACCACCGTGATGAAGGACAGTGTATGCTGACTTCAGAGGGGTTTGCTGTGGTAATCCTGTTCACATGTAAACGTGTGATGAGTTTAGCCTTTTTTCCACAGAGCACTCTCAGCTGATAAAAAGGCTTCTGAAGAGCTTTCCATAGAGCTTGTTTAGATTTCAAAGCGTTCCTATCCTGTAGCACCATCCCTTTCATTTTTATTTGTGCTGATACTGTAATATCTTCTTACTCTCTTTTCCTTTGATTACAGTTTTTGTACTTGACAGCTACTATTGCACTACTGTCGTTAACAATTTGAGCACACTCCCTCCTTGCCTCTGTCATTTGCTGCCTTTGTTTTTTGGACCCTGGGAGGAGGAAGGGTCAAAACACACATGCCCCTCATACAAAGCTGTTTCCAAGCTTCCAAAATCTCTGTTGCACAGAAAAAAGCTTTAGCATCAATGCAGACCTTTCTTTTTCTGTTGTCAATAGCTCTGCTGGACAGAAATCTATCATTCACACAGTGCCTTGCCTTTGAAATTCAATTAGTTTCACTGCCAGTATCTCCTTAAGACGGTTTAAAGGAAAATTACAAAAATGCTGCACAGCCACCTTTCACAGTGATTAAGTCATATCATATTTTATGCTCATTTCTTAAAATGATTTTATTAACACAAGCTGTTCATGTACTGGGATTCTGATCTGCATTATAAATCTCTTCCGTTCAGTCGACTCATTTTCTTTCTGCTTTGTATATTAATTGAACAGAAATACTGTGCAGACGAGACAAACTTTCTGAACTTTACAGTCCAATACCTGCATCCTCTGTATACCTGATCTTTTAGTCCAGCAGAGCTTGAGCTGATAGAAGCTTTTAGCTGACAAAATAGGAAATTAATAGTTGCTGTGGTTATAGAGCCTCCTGCGTAGTTGAGTGGTGCAGGAGGGTGATGCACGCACACCGATACCCTCCTGGTCCTGCCTCCATCACTCACTTGTGGGCCAGCAAGATAGTGCATCAACCATTTTATCAGCCAATCTCCGTTTCACATAAAATAAACATACTGGGTGTCATTAAGTGCACCTTCAGATCAATGATTTTTGCAAATGACATTCAAGTACCATTCGAGTAGTGCATTTTTGCTGATAAAAGCAAATTAAATTAGCACAACTACAAGTGTGCTGATAAAAACTAAAACCGAACAGCAGCACCATTAGCTAACAAAGTAATATTTTCTCTTTACTGCTTTCTGCCATTTAGTTATTATCCTATTGGAAATCTAATTATAATCCTTTTACTCCCTAGTCAAACTTCACAGTTTTTGCAAGCTTAGCACTGACAAGTGATTTCATTACATTTGATTGCCCGCGCCCAGATTGACTTAACTTCACTCCGAGACCTAAAAGCCCTCTCAGTTTCTCAGATTCCCTGTTTGCACATTACAGCAACAGCTCCTTTAATTAATTAGCATGAACAGCAGTAACATGAACTGCTGAACAGAAAATAACATCATTTTATGATCGCAGGGAGACTTCTCCTTTTGCATGTTTATACCTTAGTTAACTTTTGTATTACTATATTTCATTGTTAGGGGATATTGGAACAATCAGCAAAGCAATGTTATCTTAAAATTTTAAAAAATAGATGTTACCATAATACTTGATGCTAATCATTTACAAGAACGAAGACTCCAAATTTCAAGGAGGAGGCAGCAGCACAGGCAGACTGACCTTCCAGGGGTGAAAACGCAGTTCAGAGGAAACGTGGTTCCCTGAACCTGCAGCAGGAGGGGGACCCAGGGTGGCTGCTGCTGCTTTTGTTTGTGAAATAACCTGGCAGAGATTTAGCACAAAAACTCTCAGTAACTGTGAATAACTTGTTGTTTTCCTCTGTTTGCCAAAGATGAAGGACTGTTGCAGTTTGGAACACATTTGGGGTTTTATTATTTAGAAAACTGGGCTATATTTTTTCAATATTATGGTATAACCTGTCAGTTTCCAAATCTAGCCAGTGGTAAAAAGGGGCAAGGGGGACAGAAGAGAGAGTTGTGTTTTTTAGGAGGTTTAACAACTTTGTTACTGTATCAAATGATACCTCCAAATGCTGCAATCCACTGAAACCAACCACACTACTGAATTTCGGAGTACTCTAGAATTTTAAGAGACAGACTCAACAAGCTTGGAAATTACAGTGCTATTGTCTTGGTCTTGCTTTCACTGAAGAAAGTGTTCAGGCACTTAGAATTTTACATAAGAAAAGACCAAAGCACTGTGATTAGAAACTCTTGAGATTAAACTAACCAGAGGCCTGGTATTTTCCTTGAAAGCAAGTTCTTTGCTGTCTTTTTTGCTTGAATTTTAGCCTTTCTTCCTCCCATCCTGCTCCGGATGCTCTGACTTAGGAAACCTCTACTAGTTAACCCTGTGCTGCGTCACATTGCAGTGTTTCTAGAAATCTCTTCTGAAGTTTGTGTGCCATTACCAGACTGCTGTATCCAGGTGCACACTGGCCACAGCTGCTGAAAGCCTTTGCATTAGCTGCTCACCAAGAAAAGGTCCCTCTATAACTCATCAAAGATCACTGCTCTGACTGCATGGCTCTTCTGCTGGTGATGCAAATGTGAAACATTTAAACATTATGCTTTAAAAACAACAGTATCACTGATGTTGGTTGCAGTGTTAGTTCTGCTTTTGGCACCCAATTTCTCTTACTCTCTTGCTCTCTGTAAGCTCATGCACACACATGCAAGGGAGGAAGCTGAGATTTAGAGATTTACTGGAAACAAAAGGTGGGTAAAGGTTTCCCCAGGAGACCGTTGAGTGTGCAACTCCGTACCTTTCAATTCTTACAAAGGGCTAAATCATTTATTCAATAATTCAGTGTCAGTAGGCTTGAGTATTTTCTAAGCAGGAACCACTATGTTATCGTCCTGTCTACTCATACTGACAGTGGCAATCCAGCATCTGCATAGTTTGTATTCAGTGAATATATTCTTGTCCTTGGCTGTTGTTACTTATTAGAAATCCTGTTTTCTGTACAAGTTTTTAGGTCTGTTAACATGGATGTGGAAATATTTGACAGAGGTGACTCAGTAGTCCTGAGCACAAGAAAAGAGAAGAACCCCCAGATGCAGGGTACTGCACTGAGGAGCCTGGTGCCATGGCCCTGCCTGCTGTGGGAGGAGAGGGAGGCAGCTCAGCCAGCACTAGGCATCAGGGACTGCAGAGGTGGAAAAGAGGCAATAGGAAAGAGCAGTAGATTAAAAGAAAGCAAACCTGTTGCAGAAGCAGCAGTTATTATTCACTGGCTTCTGTGAGTCTATAGGAAACTGCACTGCTCATAGGGTGGTGTGTTTTCTCTTTCACTGCTCAGTTTGGAAAACAGATAATGGAAGGGAAAAGTTCTGCTGCACAACTAAAAGCCAGTTTTACTCACTGTTGTCATTCGGCTGAGTGAGTAGCCCAAAACCATGAGAACTGCTTGCATGCCAGGTCCTTCCTTTTTTTTCCCCATGGTAGTGAAGGGATCCTTTGCTGTGTTTGTTGGAATTGCTGTGGTCCTTAACCCCACAGAGGAGCCTGGGTGCAGCCTGGCCAGCACTCCCCACCAAGGGAGTAGGGAAA